GAACCGCACACGGGCTCAGAGCTGTACCAAACCAAGGATCGGCCAAGCGCGCTTCTCAGCATTGTTGCTATCTATTCTAACATATGTAAGTCACTATGGTGTATTTGGGTGTATGAAAGCCACAAATGGTACGATACGGGCGTGGTGTCGAGAACAGATAGAGATTCAAAGATCGTTAACAGAATAGTGGCATGCAGATGTCACACAGCGCACGAGATGTACCCAAAAATCATTGGAAACTTGACAGGTTGCCAACTATCGAAATCTTCCAGGTGCTGTCAGAAGATCCAGCAAACTATGCTGATGCTCCCACGGAAGCAATACGACAAGTTTTGGAGCAAGAAACCTGGTGTTCCCATTCCCTAGAGGAAGTCCAGTTCCAGCTGGTGGGTATAAGGTTAAACGGCAAATCTTTCTGTGGTGGGATTTACTCAAAGAGTTGTCGTAGGAAACTTTGGTGAAATCGAATAAGAAAGGCTTTTTCATTGGTGCTAAAATGCACTCCAACTATTATTTGAAATCTGTATATTTGCACTTTCTCGTCACCATTCCCTTTAGATTTAGGATGCAGGCAGAGGGCAGAGTTGAAGTGTCACTCATTTTCTGCGGCTCATCCCTTGTATGTGTGATCTTCTCTGTGACTCTCCTACTTTTAGAACGCGGTAACGACAACCTTGGTGGCTGCTGTCGCTGGACGTGATGGACGGGGTTTGTAAATAATAGGCGGGGTTTATAAATAATACGCGGGTTTTGTAAATAAATAAGTAGATAAATCTTAAATGTGAGAAATGATGTGTGATTTCATCGGTTGATGCGCATGCATTTACTCTGCCGGGAGAAAGGGCACAACACATTGCCAATTTAGCAAAAGCACAAAGTTGGTTGAATGTGCAGGATTATGGTAACTGTCCTTTAGTATTTCTGTTTTTCAGATAATATTTCATGGATTCGTATGGGCACAACTGTTGCGACGAATGCGTTGCTCGAACGAAAAGGCGAACGCATAGCATTGCTGATTACGAAAGGATTCAAAGATCTCTTGTACATCGGCAACCAAACCCGTCCAAGAATTTTTGATTTCGACATAAAAATCCCAGGGGTATGTTGCCTTCCCGTCAGTTCCTAGTCACTTAGATTTGTTGAGATGATACGCCTTCAAGAAATGATCTAGGTTCTCTATGAGGAGGTGGTGGAGGTGGATGAGCGAGTGATTCCATCTGACGACAGCTGTGAACTGGGTAACATTGGACGTGTGGAGGAGACGTTTTTCGGGAAAAAGGTTTGTTTTTCTCTGAAAAGCTGTGACTAGGTTAGTTATAAAATATCGTTAATAAGTGCGATGGGAAGTACATGTTTCAAGCGGATTTGGCCAGAACGCAGTAGATTGTAACCTGCCGTGAATGGTTACTTTATTTTTCTAAGTTCATTCTTTTTGATATACGTAGTTTATCGAGAGACTCGTAGGCTAGAAAGTTTTCCGCAACCGTACCAATGCGTGACTACTAGTATAGATGTCAGCCGTCGGCTGTTAAAGGGCAGATTATTTCCCGTTCACGGTCGCCGCAAAGCGGACAGAAAAACTATCTATAAATTGTCGTAAGGTTGCCTTGGGGGTTTTTGAACAGATGATCTAGCGCTCGCCTTTTTTGTCATCTTTAGCTGCGCAACCTTACAAAGTTGTGAGATCATTGGAACGACCATGGAATTGCGATCACAGCGCTGCAGCAGCACCAGGTACTAGACCCAGGTTCTGTTACCAGATCACACACAAGTTCCCTCCACCAGTACGCGCGAATGCGAGCAATTTCTTATTTGTTATTTGGCCGCTGCCCACGACTTCTACCAGACCAAAGTTTACAACAGTAGTCGTGCAGAAGCTATAAACGCCAACTGTTGTTCATATCACTACATTCGCTAAAAGTCATTTTCTATTGTGAGCAAAGTGTTGGTTAAGACACTCAAGTACCAATATGGGCGTACTAATTTCAATCAGTAGTGAAGGAAGTGCGAAGCAACCGCAAAACCGTATCTTTTACGATTAATTATAGGAAATGTACGAAAAGTGTGCAAAGAAGCTGGTGATAAGGATAGTCCTGAATTTTTGATATAACATCAAGTTTGGCAATAACGCTCATTTTTCATTGCCAGCACCCATTCAATTGTGGTTATGAATTGCAAGAAGTCTCTTGAAAACTACCAATCGAGGGACGTGACCCCTCGATTTGGTGGACAACGCTACTACGGCACTACGGGTGCTTGACGAGTTCTTTCCGTCTTTGAGCCGCGGCCACTTTGGTTACGTGTCGTCCTGCAGGTCTATTGGCAGTCAGGGATTAGATTAGCATTTTGGGAGCGTGGATGACTGAAGAAGGGTATATCAGAATGATTTTTATCTCTTCCAGGTGATTGTGGAAAAAGAACCTAATGAAGATGAAGTCAGAGCGCTTCTGAAAGCTATCATGTCACATGGAATCAAGAGTGTTGCGGTAGCCTTCCTCCACTCTTTCATGTATGCGTGTTATACCTTTTCATTTGATTTTCGGACTTCGTAAACTTCATGGCGTTTCCAGCTATCCTGCTCACGAGCTGAAGGTGAAGGAGATTGCTCACGAGTTGGGTCTCAGAAACGTTTCTCTCTCCCATGAGGTGATGCCAATGATTAAAATTGTCCCTAGAGGTTTCACAGGTGATTTTTCAAGCTTTGCTTGTTTTGCCTTGATTGCTGACACTAAACGATACGAACTAATGATATGATGTGAACGATAACTAATGATATATGAACGTGAGACCGCAGTCGTCTCAGCGCTACACGGCCGCTCTACGTGATCCGACGTCGTTCGTTGGTCTGACACCATGAGTAGGCAATTGCGTCCAAATACGCCTACATAGAACAAGACATTGCTCGAACAGGCTCGGATCGCTCTAGTCTTACTAGTATTCTAAAAGCGAGAAACGCAAATTATATGATGGCATTTTTTGTGACCCACTTACTTGGGACGCATATTGCGAAGGCACTGCAGGCAGCTAGCTGATGCTATGGACCAGCAAACTTCCTGCTTTTGGCTCTTAAGTTGTTTATGCGTGATATTTGCGCTCAAGTCACTGCTTGCTTGCTTACTGTTTTCCATACATAAATATTATAGTTGAGTTTACAGTATGTGCTGATGCCTACTTGACACCGAAGATCAGGGAATACATCGACGGATTTGAGTCTGGCTTCTCTGATGGACTTGATAGTGTGAGAGTTGATTTCATGCAGTCGGATGGTGGTCTTTGCAGTGTTAAGAAGTAAGCAGGTTCTCGGAGCTTCAAATAAGCTCACCGATTCAATGACATTTATATAACTGCACAATGGCTTATTTGCAGGTTCTGCGGGTCAAAAGCCATTCTATCGGGACCTGCTGGTGGTGTAATCGGTGTGGCTCTTACTGCTTATGACCAAACAACCAAAAGTCCTGTGATTGGATTTGATATGGGAGGTACTTCTACTGATGTAAGTTGAAAATCTTCTACTTTCAGTTCTACTTGGAACCTTACATTTCTTGACATGAATCATGGTTCCACAATCAAATTAGGAACAAAACAAATACCGATTTTGAAAATGACATACACATTTTGTGTAAGATCTTTTAGCGTTTTCAGCAACATTCTGATCAAAGTCTCTGTATAAACTTATTCTGCAGGGTATAGTACAAGGAAAAACAAAGCCAGTCGTACGATTGTGACTGAGTTTTTTTGACTTAATCTTCGTATTAGCAAATGATGTGGTTATAAATATTTTTTAGTTTCTCGATATTCTGGAGCATTAGAACACGTAATGGAGACGACAACGGCTGGTGTTACAATCCAAGCACCACAGGTTTGTTGAAAGAGGGTACTGTTGCTACACGGAGATTTGTGTTTATCTATATTCGGCTGGGTGTCGAGCTTCATTTTGTTGCCCTTCCGAGTCGAGATGTGCAAAAAGTCCTGAAACTGGTAGCCTTGCCCTTATGATGTATAATTTAAGGCTAGTCTTTTGGTGCGAATAAAGTATACAACTTGATTTCCTAGTTAAATATTGTTAGAGGTTTGAAGATTGGAGAAAAGCTTATCATTACAGTTGGACATCAATACCGTTGCAGCTGGCGGCGGATCAAGGCTGTTCTTCGACAACGGGATCTTTGTGGTTGGTCCGGAAAAGTGTTGGGTGCGGTTCATCCTGGACAGTATTGTTACCGCAAAGGGAGTGAGGTGTTTGGTATCTTCGCGTGAATTTCATTCCCTTTTTTTGCTTTGTAATAAGGCTTGAACCGATGTAAAACACAACTGGGGCGTCTATAATTTTAGAACTAACTTATTGCGGTCGTATGCTATCTCATACCAAAGATTTAGGGGGTGGACAGTAAATTCCTTTGAATTTTTCTGTCTTCCCACCTGGGATTGCCCTTAAAAGGATCCATACATTTCTATGCATGTATGTAGGTAAAAGTAAACATGCACTGAAAATGAAGAAACTATATCGTTCAAACAAATAAATTTAAAGGAAACCTTTGTGATCACTTAGCTTCGGGGAATACTGCCGATTCTGTGTCTTTTAAAAAAATTTTCCAGCTTGAAATTTTAATCTCTATTCCTTCAGGAATCTTGCGATAACTGACGCAAATCTTGTTTTGGGGCGAATCATGCCTGAGTTCTTTCCCAAGATCTTTGGCCCAAACTCAGATCAGCCTTTGGATAGGTTTGTGAAATTTTTGCGATCTTTCGTTGGGCGTTAGATATAATATTTTATTTTCCTCATAAATATCGAGTTATTTGTTAAGTATAGTGCTAGTGTGTTAAGTCTTCTGGATTCATTATTTCTTTTATTTAGTGAAGCTACTTACTCTGCTATGAAAGAGCTCACTGAACAAATCAATGAGCACATTAAGAGGAACCCAGATGCTATACAAAAGGAGTACTCGGTTGAGGAGGTGTGTTATGGTCTTCCTAACGAAGTAATACAAAATGTTCCAAATTTTAGGCTGCCTTGGGTTTTGTAAAAGTTGCCAATGAAGAAATGTGTCGTCCAATCAGAGCTATCACACAGGTTTGATTGCTGGTTAGACGTTATGAAGAAAAATCTGACTTCAGAATTTTTTCCGTAATCATCACAGTTAAGTTTTACCATGGTTAAGCCTTGTGATGACCGCTGCTGACAGCCGCTCCTTACCCGGAATGCGGCAGTCTTCTGCGAGGAATTGTGCTGTCGCTAGCCTGCTATGCCTTTTGTCCTCCGAGTTTGTTCTCAAGGCTTGGCGCCCAGTTCCTCTCAGACTGCCTCGTAAGCACGTCAACCATAAAAGAAAATAGTCCTTTACTATTAATGTTTCGACTATTCCTTTTTGTTCACTCGCGCTTCACTTCACTCTCCTACTTTAATTTTCCCGTGCTAGCAGCAGAGATTTAGTCAATTCTAACAATTGGGTAATTTTCAGGCTCGAGGCTATGATACGTCAGCACACATATTAGCTTGTTTTGGAGGAGCCGGCGGACAACATGCCTGTGCTGTCGCCCAGAGTCTTGGTAATTCGACTTCTAAACTGATAAACAGCATTTTCATATGACTCTAGCACTAGTTACTTTTTCTTTTGTGACTCCCAATTGTAAGACAAAAATCGCAAAAGTGTGGTGTTTAGGAATCAGTACTGTTCTCATTCATAAATATGCGAGTCTCCTGTCCGCCTATGGAATTGCATTAGCTAGAGTGGTGAGCGAGGTGCAGGAACCCGTAAACCTCGTGTTCTCGCCCGGTAGGTTTGCTTCTTATGTCGAAGAAGCAAGCCTCATTCATACTTCTCACTTTGGCGTTCAGAAACTACACCCTTGTTCGCCGAACGACTAACTGCACTTTCGGAAAAGGCTACTAATGATCTCAAGGAACAGGGTTTCAGAGAAGTTCATTGTGAACACTTCCTGCATATGCGTTTTGCTAAAACAGATTGTGCCATAATGATCAGTGCTGAATACGATCGCAGGTGATTTCGATATCTCTCCAGTTCGTTTTCGCCCTTCAAATTTGTATTTCAGAATCCAAAAGAATCGTTGACACTTTGTGATAGACCTTCTACTCAATTCCCTAAGCGAGAGTTTCGGCTTGTGCTGGAAGATCGTGGATATTATCTGTAGATCGCATTCGGCTGTACAGCAAACTTTTTGAGGGGTATGACAGGGTCAAGCGAGGCGTTGAGGAAAATTTGGAAATACGACCCCCCCCCCCACCACCCTCCGCCGGAGGCCGAAGTCCATGAAACAACCCTCTTCAAAAGCCGAACTATGAAAAGGTTGAAAAGCTTGTTTAATTCTCCCCCAAAACTGCTCATAAAAAAGCCCTGCTACCCCACCGCCCACAAAAAAATTCGTTTAAGAAGTACAAAAGTGAAAAAGTCAAAGAATAATCATTATTGATGAGTCCTACCAAACGAGCAAACGAGAAACAGACCAGAAAACGACAAACTAGCCACTAAAAATGGCATACCATGACAACATCTGGTCCTTATTTATTTCCTCCACAAGACTTACCAAATTCTAGTACTACACAGATTGTGGTTCTCAATTTGCACGTAGCCCTTCAGTTGAAAGAAGCTTTTTAACCGCCTTCGCCAGCTGTGTGTTGACTGGACTTTGGCGTTGACCGTGGAGCAGCTTATTTACTATTGAAATTTGAACAAATATTCAAATGATTATAACTTTCTTCAAAATATGACGAATTTTCAATCTGAAAGCAGATTTGGGAAGTTTTGTGAAGAGCTTTTTCTAATCAGTATTGAAATTACAAAAAGTTATAAGAAATAACAAATTTAGGTCAATTAACGAGGAAAATTCGAGATGAGCACGAGTTTTTACACTTTCCGAAGCAACAACCAACGTTGCGTTCATTTCGTCACAATTCGAAAAGTGTGAGGATAGGTGCGGAGGGAGCGAGAGAAGCGGTAGGAAGGAGTTTGCGTCTGACCGAGAGGCGCAGTGGTGGCTCCAAGCAGGCTCTAGTTATACGAGTCCAGTATTCGAAAAATGGCCACGTTGAGGATTTTCGCAAAATTAACGAGGAAAATTTGTGATGAGTGCGAGTTTTTTTACTTCCTAAAGCCATAACTCCGTTCAAACTCATCCAATCCGAAAAGTAAATACGCCTTTCATAAACTAGAAGATTTGCTCTATCAAATCATTACTAGAACTGCTCCAAACGTCCAGTATTAAAAAAACGGGCTACGTTGAGGGAGTTGTCGGCAGCTGATGTACCGGGCCGACGGTAACTTTTTCGCTAGAAAAAAAAAAGAAACATTGGCACTATTTCAACGGCTGTATATCCTTTTATGGGCGATTATGTACAAAAGTAAGAGCAGATTTGGAATCACTGCTTTTCTCTTTTCTAAGAAAAGTGATTGATTAGCGTTTCTCAACTTTAAAGGTTACATGTTTATAAATTTAACCCTGAAGAGTCCGTTAACGCAATGTTGAATGGTGTACACCTCCCTGTAAATGCGCACGGACACTTTCAGAATTCTCTCGATTGTTCCTGAATTGAGGTTGTTTGTCCAAGGAGCCGTAGTTGAAGCGCGCGCAACAACTAGACCCTTTCTCGGATGCGCCGTGTACCTCACATCCCTTCAGATTCGGGGTCTTACTTGAAAGATGAAATATCTCTTGGAAAGCGTGCGAAATTCAGATTCTTTAACTTGTGTGGTGATAAAACACTGAAGTAACTAAGAATTACCGGACGCCTCAGAATCACGAAAATTTTGTGTGGGTGAAATATCATTTTCATTGGAAATCCTCTGGCCTGGCATCGACTCATCCTTGATATTTGTCTTCCGACGGTGATGATCCCACTGCATCAAAATGGCTCGATCTCTTCCACCCAGCGGGCCAATACGACCCCCCCCCCCTGCGACGTGTCGAGGATTCCTCAAACGCACGCTTTGACCTGGTAATGACTCAGTAATGTGGGCATGTTGTGTAATGGTTTATTACGAGTTCGCGGAGTAGCCTCCTCTGGAATTAAGTGCAAGGAGCATATTGCGATGACTTCTGATCCGAATAGTGCTGTGCCAATGGCTCATACGAGGACCTTTTTTGAAGTAAAATGCAATTTTCCTCTGTAAGTTTAATAATACCACAAAGAAAATTGTTTAAGGGTGGTTTTCAAGAAACTGCCGTCTACGACATATCAAATCTGCTAGGCGGACATCAAATCAAGGGTCCAGCAATGATTATTGACAAAAACAGGTATCATTGTTTTCGCTGACATAAAGTGCCATGTTTGGGCCAAATCCGATTTTGCAGACACAAATTGTTGTGGAACCGTTGTGTTCGGCCACCATTACACAAGATGGAAGCATTCGACTGAATGTTGCTAGCAAACGTGAAGAAAACATCACAACCAAGTTGAGTTCACATACATAGCGACATGAAAAGTAATGAAGAGGTTACCCTCATTCGTGCAGAATTTTTTTTTCTTGGAACGATCATTCTATTCTATTGTTGCAACGTACATACTTGAGATGTATAACATAATATTAATGAAAATCCTTAAGTGGGTATCAGACTCCGCGTTTTCTTTCGCAATTATGCGATCTAAGCTTGGAGTCTGACACCCACCTTACCGCGCAGCCCCATGAATACCAAAAATGGAGGGACATCTCTTGATAGAATGTTGGTTGATCAAAGCTTTCAGTCATTTCACATCCTTGATAGTGTCTGAAGTGGCATTGCCATTGCTGCGCTTTCACTTCGCTTTCTTGATTAGCATGCAGTGGACAATAATCCACGATTTAGATGGATCCAATACGACTTTCCATTTTCTCAAATCGGTTCATGTCTATAGCTGTGAGGCAAGCATGGCACGGGTTCTTCAACGCACTGCTATGTCTACTAACATCAAGGTAAAGCAGTGGTTATTTTAATTTGCTTCCTAGAAATTCAGCTTCCTTAAATGTTGTTATAGTTGATATATGATAATGTAGCAGTGGGTAATGTTGCATCAATGTAAATGTGCTTAGAAAATCGAAAGAATTCATTTCTTTGTTGTATTAGAAAAAGTTTTGAGCGTGTAAGTTTCTTGAATGGTGCTGAAGTTTGAGGCGTTAAATTTCACTTGTTTTTAGGAACGTCTCGATTTCTCTTGTGCTCTGTTTGATCCAGAGGGAGGATTAATAGCGAATGCGCCACACATCCCGGTTCATTTGGGTAAGTGCTGACAAGATCCTCTATTTTGCCAGGTTTCAGGTAGAAAATATAACCATTTTAGGCGGAATGCAGTATGCTGTACGATATCAAATCGATCATCTCGGGTTGGACGGAATCCATAAAGGCGATGTAATCCTATCAAATCACCCAAGAGCCGGCGGAAGCCATCTACCAGACCTCACTATTATTACTCCGGTAGAGCTTTACTGCTGCTAACGAATCTTTCTCTCTTCCGCGAGTACTGTCCTAAGGACTTCCCATGTACTTTAACTTATCGCTCCATAATTGTTTTCAAAACCAGCGTTCATTTCTTTTAGAAGGGAAGCAGTGCTAGTTTGATTGAGATATTTTCTTGCAGTAATGATGGGAACTAGGTCTTGTTACCTTCGGGATACTGCGAAAGTGTACTCTTTCAGGTGTTCTTTGAAAATATAGCAAAACCCGTTTTCTATCTGGCTAATCGTGGGCATCATGCAGATATTGGTGGTATTGTGCCGGGTAGTATGCCACCAAACGCCACATCTTTGGAACAAGTGAGTTCTTCCATGCAAAATCTTTTCGTTAGGGAAAACAACACTTCATTTCAGGAAGGAGCAACCTTCGTCTCGTTCAAAATCGTTGATAAAGGAGTTTTCCGAGAAGATCTCCTCAATGAGAAATTGAGCAAGCCTGGAACCATTCCTGGTATGACTGCAGTAGCTTGTGTATAGACGTAGACATGTCATATATAGAGAATTTAAAGGTTGCTCCGGTACTCGAAATCTTGCTGACAATATTGCCGACCTAAAAGCACAGATTGCTGCCAATAATAAGGTAATGGCCTGATACTCTTTCGAGTTTATGATCCTTTCCTGAGCACTCGTTGAAAGAATGGGAAAGGAACATTCTTGAAAGTAGTGTTAGACCTGGTGATTACAAAAGGTTTTCGCCATGTACATAGTTTTCTTATCTTTCACTTCTTCCCCGTGGTCGAGCCTTATTTTCCTTATTATCTACCATTAAGAGGTGTCCACAACGTGACCTAAATTCATGTTCTGATACAAATGAAGTTTGGAAAGGCTGTGAGCTTCTGAGATCGTAGATCGTATATTTACTAAAAGTGCGCTATACGCACGAGTTCAAAATTCGCAGGTGGCATTAGAATTCATTGTTACAAAGTTTAGTTTTAGGGACTTTCAACTAATAGTATCTCGATAAGTGATATGACCTTGATGTCGGTTCAACGCCTATAAGGGGTAGGGTGTAAGGTGCCTGAGGAGTGTGGGGCAAGGAAGAAGCGGCCGCTAGAAGAATGCAAGATTGGGATTAGACACTAGACGGCTCCCCCGCGAGGGGACGAGGATTACCGTAAACGTTAGGACCCGAAGGGGCGCCACGACCGAACGGAGGGAGCGTACAGATCTAGTAGTGACGGCTAGGATTGGGAAACCTAAATGGTAGGGAGAAACGCTTACGAACAAAACTAGGATAGTCAAGGGACAAGACGGGACTCAATGATTATTGGGGTTTTTGGCGGTAAGCTCATAGGTATGTGATTACTGGCGGAACTACTTTGCGGGGTCTGAGTTTAAGGGGGCACCCAACCAACCGGGCGTCCGGCAATTGAATGCTTCACATTCAAGTCCAGCAGCAAGGAAAGTGTGAGAGAAATGCTCAAGGAAGTAAGATATTTGCAATTTCACTAGAACTTCTAGACTTTCATTTTGTCTGCACCTTCCTCTTTTTCGAGGTTGGTACCAAAGTTCTTGAGCGAACTGGAAGTTCACGTCTACAAGCCTCTGATTCAATGGATGATGGAACCGTTATCCAGCTAAGCATCACAATTGATATAGAGAAGGTTAGCGTGATTTTCGGTTTATTAGTTGAACTCTTTCTGAACGCGGAGCTAGCGCGAACATGACCGAATTCAGATACCCTCTATTCTCTTCCATCTTTCATTGCAGGGTGAAGCATTGTTTGATTTTACTGGCACGGGAATGGAAGTGTACTCGTCATGTAATTGTCCCAGAGCTGTCACCATGTCAGCAATTATTTATTGCTTGAGATGTCTTGTAGCAAAGGATATCCCATTGAACAGCGGCTGTCTAAACCCCATAACTGTGAGTTTTTTTTTTCAAACAGTAAATATTCATTACGATGACTAGGAAGAGAAGACGAGTCAATATGTAGGATGTTAAATTAATTTAGAATCGGTTATTGAAGCTGTTTGTGAGTGGTCCAGTTATGCTAAGAATGGGTCAGGAACGCAACATAATTAGCAACTTAAATTAATCCAGATTAGAGAAAAGAAAATATAGTAATCAAATCAAGGAGAATAAAATATCGAGATAGTACCGCACGCACCTCCTGAAGAAGATACCAGTAGTTTGTTCATCCCAGAACTTGATTCCTGCTGCTGGTATTCATGTTCTCCGAGTACCTTATATTTCATACATTTCGCTTTCGAAGAGTAAACCACCATGATTGCTTGCATCGTAGAATAATTTTTGAGATTTTGCGTTCGAGGGTGTCTCTTTCTGTGAAGTAGCGTAAACAAGGTCGGGCATAATGACACCATTAACGCATAAACCCTTTTTCTCGTTCAATTAAAATGAGTTCAATATGAGTTATTTCATAGCAGACGTTGTGCTCTCGTAAGATGCATGTGTGTGGTGGTATGGCAACCGAGTAACACGGCATCTGAGGATAGTCTAAAATGTTTCAATTGTCGCTATTTGTAGATCTCAATTCCCGAAGGAACGTTGCTTTCACCTTCCGAAAACGCAGCTGTTGTGGGTGGCAATGTTTTGACGAGTCAGCGGCTCTGTGATGTTATTTTTGGGGCATTTGAAGCAGTAGCTGCCAGTCAGGGTGAGCTTCTCGCATCTTTCAAAGTGCTTGCTTACTATCGCAAAGCGTAGAAGAAAACATGAGAAGATCACTGCTCATTTTTTCCCATCAGTCCCGGTTTCTTTAGGGTGTATGAATAATGTGACCTTCGGTGACGAAACAATGGGTTACTACGAGACGATTGCTGGAGGTGCTGGAGCTGGAGAGGGATTTGATGGCAGAAGTGGTGTTCATACACATATGACTAATACGAGGATAACAGATCCGGAGATTCTGGAGAGTAGGTGCGTTGCGTCGGTAGCGTCGTTCCAGTAAATAAATAATTTTTTTCTTCCTATCGAAAAAAATAGGTCAGTTCGGCCTCGCGATGAACTGTACATCATTGCGTTTGCCTTGAGGTAGTGAATTATAACCGCTTACCGTATCTATGGAACGATGCTCTGAATGGAATTATGGAAGATTTTTTTCCGCACTGTTTTGCATCCTATTATCCTTATCAAGAGCGCCCTCAACTGCTTCTCACTCTATGCGAACAGCTGTGGGCAAGCATTGATGCAGCAATAGTTTCGAAGTCTCTAGCTGTAATGCTGAAAGGAGCAAAGATACAAACTCACTAAGGAGTCGATCCAGCGACCTTCTGCTTGATAGTCTAGAGCACTACCTTGCTACCCTGCGCTTTTACGCTTTAACACCGAAAAATCTGTAGCAAATATGGAAAGCAGTTGTGAGCTCGGCTCCTTAAGACGAGCAATGGTGTGAAGTCATTTCGAATGGCTGGAGCCTCTTGTTGATTTTTCTGGTTACATTTACTATTAGCCAGGCAGCAGTTCGACTTTTTTGTAGGTATCCAGTTATTCTTCGCGAGTTCTCGCTTCGTGAAAACTCTGGAGGAAATGGAAAATGGCGTGGTGGAGATGGCGTGATTCGCTGCCTTCAGTTTAGACGACCCCTGTCTTTGGCTCTGCTCACTGAACGGCGGTCGGTTCAATGTTTTAATTGCAGCGCTATTGACAGCATAGATTTCTTTTTAGAGTTTTTGCTCCATACGGTCTCAAGGGCGGGGGAGACGGCGCCCGTGGTGTGAATGTGTTGAAGAAACGCTCACGTACTGTGAACCTTGGCGGAAAAATCACTTTACGTGTGGATGCTGGGGTAAGTAGCTTTCATTGTGGTGTATCCGAATTTGTTATGATAGGCATGGGTAGTCATTGCTTTCAGGATATTCTTCACCTGCAGACACCTGGTGGAGGAGGTTATGGTACAGTATAAGCGGGCTAGTATTTGTTGAATCACGTGTTAACATTTAATGTCACTATCATATATCGATCCGATCTTTCAACTAGGAATGAATAAATCTTTCGAATTGGTATATAATACAATGCTTAATGGCCGTTGATTTGAATTTCAATGAGTTTTCTAACCGGGAGTGTTGCTCGAATGATTTCTAGCACACCACTATATATGGACCATAAGTTAAAATGGTTGCATCACAATGAACCGCGTTCTGATGATTTGTGATGCTGATGGTGAAGTTTAACTTGGAAATTTTGTGGTATCAGAGACAACCCATGAATTCCGTTTAGAGAATTGTAGAAGGGAAAAGGTAAGAATTCGGGCACTTGAACATTTCTGACTTGGAGAACAGGTAGTGAATTGCCTATTATATCTGACTTATGTGCCCTGTTCGTCCAGTGGAATGAAAAATTGTATATGATATGGGCTATTAATATTGGATACGTAGCAATGAGGGGCAACATCAAATAGGGAAATGCACGATGAAAGGTGGATCCCTATCGATCATAAGAATCCAAGAACGAATTCGCAAGCTGATGGTCGAAGAATTCGCAAAAGTGAAGGGACATGGGAATGGGTATGAACGAGAATTCATAATCAGATAAACGGAAAACAATTACCA